GAGGAGATGTGTCCAAGCTAGACCAAATTGAAGACTGTGCTCCACTGGTTACACACAAATATTGAAACAGAACCAATCTAGTAAGTTTAGGTTTAGGTTAAGACGATGGATCAACATCATAGCACAAGGGTAATAACCCATAAGTGCTCCGTTCTCCTTCTAACTCAAGCCTGAGTCTAAAGAATCTTAACTCCGTAGTATAGGTGAGGATCCTGAAATAGTCTGGGTTGATTTTTGACTCAAAATTTTGCCCGGGCAGTGCCATTAGGCTACTCTTTTTTTATTTCCAACTACCAAGTGATTTTTTATGTGAACAACAATACACATGGGTGTCTGATCTTACTATTCAGAGACCAAACGAAATTAAAGTCCACGTGAAAAAATCCCAGCCTCCACTGGGGCCTGAACCCGCAACCTCCAGCACTTGAGGCGGACACCATGCTCGAAACCACACAGCCCACAAATCTAGTAAGTAATTAAGTAAAGGACCAATGTACTGGATGTCAAAGCACTGGTTGTCAATGTGAGGAATGTCAATGCACTTGATAATACACCAGATGCCAATGCACTGAAAACCCCCATGCACTGAATGTCAGTGCAGTGGATGTCAGTGCACCAGTCTTCAGACCTGAAACACAACTTTGGTGGGGATTCATAACCAACTAACAACAAACACTCTTGTACATGTTTCTGTAAACACCTACAAATCACTGAACTGTTCAACAGTGAAGTAAATCAGTGCAAAATGTTGACATGAAGTCAATGTCACATATCAATCCATAACAACAATATCTACACTCCCCCAGTCCTGTTCTGGCTATCAGTGTAAGGTTTTAAAGAAGCATCTGATGTAAGCCTTGGTATGTGCTAGGTAAATACTGATATCTACAGCCTGGGATATATTCCATCTATCCATCACCTCTGTGATTGACCTCTAGTCTGCTTCCACTGTGTGTAAGTGACAGGGAACAACATCACACCACACAAAATATTCGTGCAGTCTCTTTTCTGAACACATACAACACAGGCCTCTATGGGTTACAAGGACCTTCAGAGGGAAAAATACTGTAACCTGGGTGCTTTATTAATATCCTGCCCCAGATGGCGTCACAGGACAGTCCAACATTATAAAGTGTGGTAAGACTAGGTTTCCAGGCTTTCTGATGCTTTTAATGACCCCAAAAAACTAGAACTGGCCCTAACCCCAACCCACCTACGTCCCAGGAAAGAGTGCAGCTTAGGTCCCACAACTGCATGCATCCTAGGTCTCACGACTGCATACAGCCTATCTACCACCTCCTGAAATATGCCCCATGACCTGTTAATATTTCCCTGTTTAGGGTAGGATATTAATGTATCGTAACCTTTCATGCATTAAATGGGATAAATTCAAGATGGGCAAGGAAATAATCATGATGTCTGGGCAACCACTAGTAATAACATTTATAAGACAAAAAAGTTGGCGCTACATTGGACACATCCTGAGAAGTAACCAGCAGAGAATCACCAAAACAGGCAATGAAATGAAAAAAAAAGGATAGAGGAAGCAGGGAAATAAAGGGCATGAGAAAGCGAGTACATTCAAAAGAAACCATAAAATGGGCGCTGATGAAAGAGGCCAAAGTTGCTGGAATGGATTCTATCCAGGACATCAAAGTGATTGCACAGGACAGAATTGGATTGAGGAATAGAATGTGACATATAAGGGCAAAATAGGACAATGATGATGATGAACCTACCATGCATGTCATAAGAGGCGACTAAGGTGGGTTGGTGTGGGACTGGCTACCCCATTCTGCAACATGTAACCAATAATGAACAGTAATACCAAGGGACTGTTAGGATTTAGCTGTGGGCCTTTGCTCTACTGGGAGATAAAAGGTAAACGACAAAGCTCCATATGGTAGCCTTATTAGTGCTTCTTGTATTTTACAATGAATATTACAATGCAAAAAATGTAAGCAAGGAATGTAATAGTATGGAAAAGTTGACACCTCACAGTGTAAAGAAACATATGTCATGTTGTCCACTTCCAAGACTGAGATGTCATCCAGTTCTAAGACTGGTATGTCATCTTGTCCAGTTCAAAGACTGGTATGTCATGTCATCCAGTTTTAAGACTGGTATGTCATGTCATCCAGTTTTAAGACTGGTATGTCATGTCATCAAGTTCTAATATGGTATGTCATGTCATCCAGTTCTAAGACTGGTATGTCATGTCATCCAGTTCTAAGAGTGGTATGTCATGTCATCCAGTTCTATTGTCTGGTATGTCACGTCATCCAGTTCCAAGATTGCTTTGTCATTTTGTCCAGTTCTAAGACTGGTATGTCATATTGTCCAGTTCCAAGACTGGTATGTCTGTTGTCCAGCTCTATGACTGGTATGTCATGTTGTCCAGTTCTAAGACTGGTATGTGGTGTTGTCCAATTCCAAAAGTGGTATGTCATGTTGTCCAGTTCCAAGAGTGGTATGTCATGTTGTCCAGTTTCAAGAGTGGTATGTCATTTTGGTCCAGTTCAAAGAGTGGTATGTCATGCTGTCCAGTTCAAAGAGTGGTATGTCATGTCATCCAGTTCCAAGAGTGGTATGTCATGTTGTCAAGTTCCAAGACTGGTATGTCATAGTGTCCAGTTCCAAGAGTGGTATGTCATGTTGTCCTGTTCCAAGAGTAGTATGTCATGCTGTCCAGTTCCAAGAGTGGTATGTCATGGTGTCCAGTTCCAAGAGTAGTATGTCATGATGTCCAGCTCCAAGAGTGGTATGTCATGTTGTCCAGTTCCAAGAGTGGTATGTCATGTTGTCCAGTTCCAAGACTGGTATGTCATGCTGTCCAGTTCCAAGACTGGTATGTCATGCTGTCCAGTTCCAAGAGTGGTATGTCATGTTGTCCAGTTCCAAGAGTGATATGTCATGCTGTCCAGTTCCAAGAGTGGTATGTCATGTTGTTCTCTCCAAAGATTAATATGTTAATTTATCCTGCCCTAAAGACTAGCATACCATGTTATCCACTTCAAAGACTGGCATTTTATTTTATTTAGTTCTAAAAACTGGTATGTCTTCTAAAAACCGGTATCTCATGTTACCCAGCTCTAAGACTGACATGCCATGACAAAATAGTATATTATCTTGTCTAGATATGCACTCTCTGGAGTTTTAGTAACCACAATAAACTAATGTATCATATTTGAACCAAACCTGAAGCAGAATATCTCATTTATTTTCATTCCTGATTTAAAAGGAGCTGACGGACTACATTTCATCAGGTTTTATCCCATGTGGTTCAGTATCTGCCCACAGATCAACTACCAGCAGCCTGGCACATAGTTTGAACTACATAGCTCCCCAAGAATCTCTGCACTCGGGAACCAAACAACAGTCATGAAACAAACCCATGACCTTCAGAGAATTAAGCAAACACCTTGATCACTTTGCCACCGAGACGACTTATTGATTGAGACTCGCTGACCAAACCCGAAGGAGATTATCATAAATATAAAACAATCCTTAGCAAAAATATATACATAAAAAGTCAACAAAGACACCAGTGAAAACTCAGATTTTATCACAGCGGCACCGCCACAATTATTCCATGTCCAATCAGGCAACATGGAGGGCATGTGAGGAGAACAGGAATGTTACAGGGTTATCATGATCTTGATATGCAAAAAAAGCACCAAAAAACAGAACAGTTTGACTGTCATTACTTTTATAAAACTAATCAAACAAACTTTACAGCTGGACTGTTGTTATCTGTATAAAACCAACAGAGGAAAAGATGCTGAAACAATCAGTCAACAGTTGGATACAAGAGATCTCGGGGTCCTATTTTTATGGACAATATTAAATAGAGACACTGCCCTCTTCTCTGTGTGGATTCCCAGGTCCCATTGTAGGGAAAACAAGAATAGACCTACTGACTCCCCAACAAGCATGTTGTAAAAGTCGACTAATTGGGGCTTTCTTTGAATTCAGAGTGTATCTGCCTGAAAGGCGAGGAACCAACAGTCACAAATAAGTCAGATCTGTAAAACAGATGTGCATGCAACACTCAGGTTCTGGAACAAGTCTAAAGTCCAGAAGTGGAGAAACAACCGGAACTTTCCGCTGGAATTTACAACAGGTGAAAACAAAGAAGAAAACACTGAACTCTAACAAGCAAGTCATGAAAGGTGATTAATTAGGATCTGGCTGAAATAGGAAGATGGGCTGAAAGGTGCAGCTTTTGCAGCCTAGCTGTAAACCACAAAACAATGTGCCAACCGCTTTTTTCAAAAGGGGGAATACAAAAGCAGAAGAAGCAGCAGAGGAAGGAGAAGGATACAAAGATCAAATAAGTAATATAGGTAAGATTTCATTCCCATGTGGGTGCAGGAGCCCTAGGGGAAAATAAAAATAGACCTATTTCCTGTGGTAGGAATCGACTGTTTTTTTTTCAAGTCGGAGTGTATCTGCCTAAGCGGCAAGGATCAACCAACTTCACACAACAAAACTCAGGCCCTGGTTAAGCAAAAGTCCAAATGGACAAACAACTAGGACCTTCCACTGGATCTTACAGCCGGTGAACAAAGAAGAAGAAGAAGAAGAAGAAGGTAAGACTTCAAACATTTAACATGCGAATAGCTTTCCTAAACGTTAAAAAAAACACTGTTACCAAACACACAACATAAGTAAAGCATTCCCAAACATATAACAGAGGTGATTCTTTCCCTAACAATCAACACTATTAAACCCTCAAGCAGACAACATAAGCAATTATCTCCCTCCAAAAGACACAAACTAGTTGAACTGTAGGTGCTTATAAACATGGAAATAAATACATAAGGGGTGGCATCTGGCAAGCGGCCGAGAGGTTGTCCGGAGGCCAGTCATGGGAGTGACCTCCTGTACAGGGTCTCCCACATAACAAATGTCTGCGAAAGAAGTTTAATTTACAAACATAATATACACATCCAGTGGTGTGACAATATTATAACAAATAAATAATGTACAAGTTAATGTTATAATCTGTGGCGTCGATACCATGCCACAAGCCAGTGCCGTCGTTGATTGTATGCTTTTGATTTTTCTCCGTACAACTCTTTGTATTGTTTTGCTGCTGGCTCCCAGTTCTCTGCTGGCTGCAGAGAAGATTGTAGTCGCTGGATGTGGAAAAAGACACACAAAAAAGATAAGTAATTATTTAAATCTTCCTCTTTATCATGACTTCCAGACTGACCCAGCCTATTTCATGATCATAATGTGCCCTGTTTGAGGTTTTCACTAAGCAATTTATGTTCAGTAGTTTGCCATTGCTAATAACAGTAAATAGTAAATAACCCTTTCCCACAATTCAGGCGTACTGGGCATATAGGGCTAGACCTATTTTTGAAAAACCAGTCTGCGTGTGGTGGGTAACATTGTCAACATCACGCTGGCTGCCTTTACTTTCCAGGACTATACCTCGAAGCCAAAATCATTTCTAAAGAAAAAACTCCGGCTCCGTCAGGACCTGAACCCATGACCTTCTGATCAGCAGGCAAGTGTCTAGTGGCTATACCACAGCAGCTCCTTGTATATAAAAGTGGCATGTAATAAATAATTATATATAATTATAATAATAGAAATCATAGTAGCCATAACTTCTATTAATATTATTTATTCCATTCTACTCTTTTAAGCGATGGCAAACTAATCAAAGTAAAACTGCTCAGTGAAACCACTAAAAGCGATGGCAAACTAATCAAAGTAAAACTGCTCAGTGAAACCACTAAAAGCGATGGCAAACTAATTAAAGTAAAACTGCTCAGTGAAACCACTAAAAGCGGAAATATGCTGGGTTGGTTCTGCCTTGTCTTGTAAATAGGGATGTACCGAATATTCGCTTCGAATACGCTTCGGGGCCAAATAGTGGACGTATAGACTATTCGGTATTCGGCCGAATAGTTGCAGTCGGGCCGAATACGAATAGTAGTTACCTTACATCCGCTTCTGCATACACGGCCTTAATATTGACAACATGGAACGATTGGTTTTGTTGAAAGCTAATGCAGCTTTCATGCATTAACTAAGCTGTCAGTGACAATTTCCAAGTTTAGTTACTTGTTATAATACTTAGGATTCTTTCATTCCTAGTTATTAGTTACCACTGACTGACTGAAGGGTGCAAACCATAAAATGTTTTTAAATTTTTACTATTCTGTACGAATACTAACAAGACATGGAAAGAATATAAACTCTGGCCACATCCAAGTCGATAATATGAAAATCAAACGAACCGAAACATAAGTACTTGGGTGCAAACTTCAACTGCTCCAACATGCTGAGAGAAGAAATACAATCTAGAAAAAAGTATACTATGCCCTTCAAAAACTGCTAAAGTCAAAGGTCTGTCTCGCAAGACCAAGATCAAAGTATCTAAAACGTTGATTAGACCAGTCGTGTTATATGGCTCTGAAACATGAAGCAGAAATAAAAAATATGAGGTCTTATTACAGGTTTTCGAAAACATTATTACGAAAAATCTTTGGACCCATCAAAGATGCTAACAGCGGGGAATGGAGAGCGAGAAGCAACAACGTTACGCATAATCGGTTTTAATCACTATTGATCACTGGCATCATGAGAGCTAACAGACTAAAATGGTTGGGGCATTTTGAAAGAATGTCAGATGACAGAGAAGTAAAACTGTATACACATGAGAGAGGAATGGTCGTAGACCTCGAGGCAGACAAAAAAGAAGATCGAGAGATAATGTCCAGCCAGAGAAATGAATGGAGACGAGTGATATCTGCATCAGTAAACCTCAAGGGCTCAGAATGCTAAAGAAGAAAATGACTATTCTGTGCTACTTTTTGTGAAGTTCAGCATACATTTGACATTATGAATTTTTTTTTTTTTTTAAAGAAATATTTTATACACTATACACTATTCGTATTCGTCCGAATAGTTGGTCCCGCTATTCGTAGTCAGCCGAATAGTGAAAATCCCTATTCGGTACAGCCCTACTTGTAAAGCACATGCAACTAACTGTAACTACTCTGATGTTGAATATAGACAGAGTGTTTTATAACCACAGTGTTTGGTTAAAGTTGTGAACTGCTTTGTGGAAAAAAGTCTATTAAAGTGCTATATACAGAACAAGTCTACTAAAAAAAAAAAAGAAGAAGAAGAAAAGAAGAACAACAAAAACTGAATGAATAAATTAATGAAACTAAATTTTAAGGGTCACAAATTGGGTAGGCCCTTCCAAACACTAATCTTTCACACATCAATTGTATTTTTATCATGTTTTGTGCAGATAGCAAAATGCATAATATGAGTGTAGAGTGGAAATTACAAAAGCATAGAAGGTTAATACATACATTCCAATATACAAACATGCATATATACATACATAAGCTTATGTACCCACAGGTCGCACGAAGAAGAAGGAGATGGAGAAGAAAGGAGAAGAAGAAGAAGAAGAAGAGGAGAAGAAGAAGAGGAAGAAAGAAAGAAAGAAAGAAAGAAAGAAAGAAAGAAAGAAAGAAAGAAAGAAAGAAAGAAAGAAAGAAAGAAAGAAAGAAAGAAAGAAAGAAAGAAAGAAAGAAAGAAAGAAAGAAAGAAAGAAAGAAAGAAAGGAGGGAAAAAAGAAAAACATAAAGATAAAAAGAAGCAATTAAAGGAAAAAGCTCACCTGTATAAATGTACCTTTCTGTTTCAATAAGACTATAAGTGCACCCACAGGGATCGGTATCAATGGAATCACAGATATGATGAAGCCCAGTAAGTTGGCCCACATAGGAAACACGTAACCATCATACACAGGTAAGGTATACATGGCACAGGTGAATATAAATGCAGTCTGCAGAAGGGGAAAAAAATACATCGTAGTGTGGTATAATTGTATAATTCTCTCTACCAGAAATCAAAACACTTATCAAGGAAAAGTACAAGGAATTGTGGAGAGAACAAACAAACAGTAAACATCACAAGACCTCATCAGCAGACTCAACTGAAAGCGACATACAATTTTCTATCTATGAACAGGGCCACTGCAAGCTCAACTGGCACATGCACAATATAAAGAGTGCAGTCCCCTCAGTGTGCCTATCAAACAGTACCACAAAACCTGAGCACATTCTGCAGACCTGCCCATTCTACCTACAGCTTCACAAAGAACACTGGCCTAGAGAGCAAAGTGTACAGAGCAAGCTATGGGGAACCATGCAGGACCTGCAGCTGACATGCAAGTTCACAGGGGCAACCCACTTGATAGTCTCACCTAAGCATATGAAACCGAATACACAGAAAAAGAAGAAGAAGAATTGTTGACTTCGAAGTTTCCAGAACTACTGCTTTGATGTGAATAATCAGAGAGTGATTAACATTTCTAACTCTGTTCCCCCCTGAAGGAATGAATCAAACACTGACACCAGCGCACTCAGGACATTCCCACACATGCTCCAGCTCTTTCTTCAAAAGTCAGCGAAGAGTCGACATGCTGACGGTACCAGATGCAACCTGATTAAAAGTATCCTCAGTGTTAAATATCTTCTTTGGGAACTCTGGCACCCAGTGGACTTGACTGCCATTACAGCTTCACATAAACCCTAGTTTAATAATAAACTACAAACATTCATTAAGTGGTGACTGCAGAATAGGGATAATTAAATGGTATGATAGAATCACTGATGTAGAGCTTTGGGAGAGAAAGAAACAAGTTCCAGTGGACCAACAGGTGAAGAAAAGATGCTGGTGATAGGACACATGCTGAAAGTGATTTAACTAGAATGTCCTTCCACTAGAACCTACAAGGGCATTGAAATAAAGGCAGACCAAAAACACATGGAGAAGGGAGCTAGAGAGCAAAGTTAAAAAGATGGGGAGGACACATGCGATAGTGAAGGATAGAACGACATGGCGTAAGTTGGTTGAGGGCCTATGCTCCATTAGGGGTTAGATAGGCAGAAGAAAGAAGAAGAAGAAGCAAGAGCTGCTGCTCATTAGGAAGAATCTTCAACAATAGATGCATGAGCTTTTAGTTCCATTATTGCCAGCACATTCACCACGCTGTAGAACTCACCAACATAATTAATGGTGTGAAGACTGTCCAGCAGATCCTCACAAACAGGCCCGGCTTCCTCCCTAGCATCATCTCTATATCATCGCTGAACCTGTCAACACCTGCAAGATCAACAGTACAAATGAAATTAATGTTAATATATCATCTTTATATTTCCACTGAACCTGTCAACACCTGCAAGATCAACAGTACAAATGAAATTATTGGTAATATATCATCTTTATATTCCCACTGAACCTGTCAACACCTGCAAGATCAACAGTACAAATGAAATTAATGTTAATATATCATCTTTATATTCCCACTGAACTTGTCAACACCTGCAAGATCAACAGTACAAATTAAATTAATGTTAATATATCATCTTTATATTCCCACTGAACTTGTCAACACCTGCAAGATCAACAGTACAAATGAAATTAATGTTAATATATCATCTTTATATTACCACTGAACCTGTCAACACCTGCAAGATCAACAGTACAAATGAAATCAACATTATATCACCTCTATTTCCACTCTGAACCTGTCAACACATAAAAGATTAACAGTAAAAACAAAATTAATGCTAATATCATCACTATATCATCAATAAACCTGTCAAAAACTGAAAAAGAACAATAAAAATAAGAACAAATAATCTTAACTCCTCTCTATATCCTCACTAAACCTGTCAACACCTGAAAGTAAAAAAAAAATGTTAGCAACATAAAACAACCTAGAGGTGAAATATGATTAGCCTAACACTCTTAGATTGAAGAGTTCATAGGCTGCTTCAGATTAGTCTTAAAAGATGAAGTCAGTCATTATCAACTCAATTCCTTATATTGTACAAGTGTGAACACCTCAAATCGATGAGATTATATTTCTGTTTCTTCTTTTGCTCTTAAAAGAGCATTTGGCACTTTGGTTTACAGCCAGGCTACAGTATATGTGCCCTTCAGCCAAATGAATCTGACAAGCAAGACTGAGGTTCTACAAGTTTACAGTTCCATTTTCCTGTTATAAGCCTGACAAGTTCCACACTTTCATGTTTGTGTTATAAAATCGACGAGTTCTAGTTTCATTCTCGTGTTATAGGACTGACAAGTTCTACAGTTTCACTCTTGTGTTATAGGATTGACAAGTTCTAGAGTTTCATTCTCGTGTTATAGGATTGACGAATTCTACAGTTTCACTCTTGTGTTTTAGGATTGACAAGTTCTAGAGTTTCATTCTCGGTTACAGGATTGACAAGTTCTACAGTTTCATTCTTGTGTTATAGAATTGACAAGTTCTACAGTTCAATTTTCCCTCTTTGTTGACTCACTGCAAAATGAAAACCTATTTGCCACAGCGGTTACACACAAAGGACCCACCATAAATCTAACAAAACACAAACCCATTTGCCACAGCAGTTACACACACAGGACCCACCATCAATCTAAAAAAACACAAACCTGTTTGCCACAGCAGTTACACACACAGGACCCACCATAAATCCAACAAAACACAAACCTATTTGCCACAGCAGTTACACACACAGGACCCACCATAAATCCAACAAAACACAAACCTGTTTGCCACAGCAGTTACACACACAGGACCCACCATAAATCCAACAAAACACAAACCTGTTTGCCACAGCAGTTACACACAAAAGACCCACCATAAATCCAAAAAAGCACAAACCTGTTTGCCACAGCAGTTACACACACAGGACCCACCAAAAATCCAAAAAAGCACAAACCCGTTTGCCACAGCAGTTACACACACATGACCCACCATAAATCCAACAAAACACAAACTTGTTTGCCACAGCAGTTACACACACAGGACCAACCATAAATCTAACAAAAACTTGCTTGCCACAGCAGTTACACACACAGGACCCACCATAAATCCAACAATTGCCACAGTAGTTTCACACACAGGACCTACCATAAATCCAACAAAACACAAACCCGTTTTCCACAGTAGTTACACACACAGGACCCGCCATAAAACCAACAATTGCCACAGCAGTTTCACACACAGGACCTACCGTAAAACTAACAATTGCCACAGCAGTTTCACACACAGGATCTGCCATAAAACCAACAATTGCCACAGCAGTTTTACACACAGGACCCGCCATAAAACCTACAATTGCCACAGCAGTTTCACACACAGGACCTACCATAAATCCAGCAAATCACAAAACACTCGAGGAAGGAGGTGATCATAACACAGAAAGCAGCAACAAACCAGTCCAGCAAAGTGAATACATAGATGCCTCCCTGAAATGATACATAAGATGGACATATTAAACATCTTGTATCCCTGTGCCCAGCTCTCTAGTGTAGTTGGCTAAACTGGATTGCGCGGAGACCGGGTGACAAACTCCTTGTGGTCCGGGTTCAATCCTGGGGGTAGGCAGGAAAGCCCCATTTCTCCCAGATTTACGTTATTTACAATGGAGTCAAGGCCGAAAGGTTGCGATATCCATAATATCGAGCCTAAGGGTTAACAACTTATGGTTTCTAGATACTATAACAAACAAACTTGTATCCCTGTGTGGCTTCCGGGACCCACTTTGTAAGGAGGTGGGGGAAGAAGAGACCCAATGCTGAATTAAGAATCAAAATCACAGCACACAGGACCATTACCATAAGCACTGTCCCCATCTTTAGCAGCAAGCACAGTTCCTATTTTGACAGTAAGTCTTTGTATGTCTGTCCTGCCTTTCCTTTAAGGGCAAAAAAAAGAATAAGAAAAGACCCAGTGATTCCTTAACCCTTTCGCTGCTATGTTCTCCGCCAGCAAGCGTTACCACTATGCGAAGCAAGTTCCTGGCTGAAATTTCCCCCTGTGCTGAATACTCTTTTATCCTCGAAACACAAAAGATGGGTCCGCAGGGTGGGCTCTGTTTTGTACAACTGAAATTATTTACCCTAGATAAGTGGCTGATGTCCCGAGTGCTGACAAATCAGACGCACTATAGTGACACCAAGAAACACATTTACAGAAAGGAAACACTAGAAACTAGAAATTTGCCCGGCTTCACTCGGGATAGTGAAAGAAGATGTATCCTCTGCTAAGTCTATCTTTGTTGTCTCCACTGCTACCACATGTGTAGTAGAAACTCCACAGCAGAGAGGACACAACAATAGCCTTTCGATCATCAGCAAGCACATTCTTTAAATGTTTCAACTGCTTTACATTCCTTGCAGGTGGATATTGTAAGACAGTCGTTATTCTTCCTGCTTCTATTTCATCGTCGTATCAACCATTGCCATGTGTTTAGCAACTGTCCCAAGTGCATCTGAGGCTCTTACCGTCCCCTGACCTGTTCCACCGCCCTACAAACTTGAACGATAAATCTACAGCCCTTTCACCGAATAAGGTTTACCGAATAACTGACCTAGGGGGATCCTAGTTCTTCACCCCAGGCAGTGACTCGTGAATGACAATTTGCACTAATTACAATTATTACTTTTTTTTAAAAATAATTAATGCTTTGCCGAAACTGCTAAGAGCTGAAATTTAAAATGTACACCTAAAAAATAAAACAATAAAGAAAACCCAAAAAGTAATATAGGGGTTGAACGCAAGACCTTTCGATTGTAAATAAGACATGATACCAACTAGATTAGAAATGCATTTGAAAATAAGAACTGAAAATAGGACCAGTTTTGTCACTTTGATAGACAAGCACGTTTATGTCTGTTGTAAAGTATGCGAGAAACATTAATTTTAATCATCATTTTTAGTATGTGAACATATCTTCTTATTATTATTATTCTTCACTGAGGATCCATTTCAATCCAGTCGATGTAGATGGCTGGGTCAGGTGGTCAGTCTTGCTCATGGCCAGAAGTACGCATGTTTACTGGCGTGGCATGAAGATCATCCTAATTCAACACATTTCAAAGTGATCCTTGAGAGAAAGTCTAGTAACTCTTCATTAACGTAAATTAATCAATTTTTGTGCTATTTTGTATTTTTTTTAACGTAGACTAAGGCACACACACACACAAAAAGAAACATATTTCAGGGCCAAAAATACACAATTTATCTACCACACTTTTATGGTAATAAAGCAACAGGACAACGTGGAATACACCAAAATGCACATGATAAGGGTTTTAACTGTATGAAAATGGGTCAATTTTATCAGATTTAGGTAATGTGTACGTACTGCCATTTCACCCCCCCATAATTATGGTTCTTAGGAATCTGTAACAAAAGTGGAAGGCGTGTTAATACGCCCTTAGCAGCAAGGGCACTGAAAAAGGAAGACGTATTAAAATGTCTTTAGCAATCTACCGGATAGAGATATATATACGTCCATAGCAGTGAAAGGGTTAACAAGTATGTAGTTCAAGGCAACTAATTAGGGTTTTTCCTTCAAAGTCAGAGTGCATCTGCCTGAGAGGCAAGGAACCAACAATCTGCATACAGTTAAGCCAGACCTGTAAAATGAATGTGCGTGCAAAGTTCTGGAACTCACACCCATTGTTGCTGCAGCAAAGATAGGCTTTCAAAACTGTGATTTGTTTGCCAGAGTTATGTTATTGTTTTCTTTTAGAGTGCAAATAAAAGAGATCCTGCAAAACCCAACAAAGCAAGCATTTTTTGTCTCCTTTCTGTCATTCATCTCTAATTATCCTGCCAAGCTGTTTTACCCTCTGTCATTTTGTGCAGCCCATTCCAGGTATTCACCATATTATACACATCTGTTCTTCTGAATTTGTTCTCTGTGGGTTCCAGTGTAAAGACAATCTAAAATGTTAAGATTTTTTTTCAATGAAAGCAAACATTCTTTTCCTTTAGTCCATGCTCTGTGGCGTTAGTAGTCACTTCTATTCATAACATTCTGTCTCATGTACTTTTAATCAATTCTGACCTAGAGAATCTTCTACGTCATGATGTCAAACTGTACAGCACCTTCTCTCTCTGCCTCTTTTCTCCTCCAACCTTCCCACCATCATGATGTTCTCCAGCTTCCCTTTCCTCATGACAGGACCATCATCATCATCATGTAGCAGGACCTATGCAGAATGTTGCTCTCATCACGGTCTGCCTAAAAGAAACTTGGTCTCTCATCAGCTTTCCCGCCTCATGCACTTTCATACTCAAGGAGTCACTTATATCCTGTGCCCATCTTCGTGTGGGTCAGCCCCTGCCCCTCCTTCCTGGTATCATGCCTTCTGCTATAATTTGTTCTAATCTGTCGTGGTGCTTTTTATGACTAAAATATTTCAGCTTCTGAGACAGGATGCTGTTTATTAACCAATCTTCCTTGATGTTCAGATCTTTCAAGATGTCAGCATTTCTCCTCTTCTTTGTCCCAGATATTCTGAAAATCTTTCTAAAGCATTTCAGCTCAAAAGCCCCTATTCTCTTTCTTAAGGACTGGGAGATTATCCCCAATTCACATCCGTATGTTGCAACAGAGAAGATGCATGCTCTAAAAATTATTATTCTGATTTCCTTGCTGGTGCTAAACCAAAGACTTTTAAGGCTGTTTAATCTTTGCCTTGCTATGGCCATCCTCCTTTTAACTTCTGTCAGTCTCCATTGCTATTTATTATAGAGCCTAGGTATTCAAAGTTTGTGACATTTTCAATAAATTCATCATTTATTGTTATTTTTGGGTGGCAGCCAGTTTTATCTGTGGACACTATTTTCGTTTTCTTTAAATTTAAAAACAGATTTTGATCTTCACTGTGCTTTTGGACAGACAATATTAAATGTACTGAAGCAAAATATCTGTATACACATAGGCAGATAAGTCATTTTTCTCTTACATTAGTTGCAATCGGCAGAGACACACAGTAGCTGAGGAAAGCAAGTCCAAATGTGAGACAAATCCGTCTCCTCCGCAGCTGATGGGGAAAGGCATCTATCAAACCTGCCACCACTGTCTCAAACATGCCAAACTGTCAATGGGGGAAAAACACAATTAAAAGTGGTATTTGCAATGGTGAATATGATACACCTGTGGCCTGGTGATATAATTTTAAAAATATTTTTTAAATATTTCTTCTTCTTCTTCTTCATGTTCACCAGCTTTAAACTCTGGCGGAAAGTTAAGTTCTGGTCGTTCATGTACCTCCGGAATGCAGTCCTGTTCCAGAACCTGAGTGTTATATGCACATTTGTATTACAGATCTGATTCATTTGTATGCAGACTGCCGGTTCCTTGCCTCTCAGGCAGATGCACTCCGACTTCGAAGGAAGCTCCCAATTAGTCGACTCTTACGGCATGCTTTCGGCTAGACGGTGGCTCTATTCTTGTTTTCCCTATAACAAGGCCCTGGAACCCACACAGGGAAAGTAAAAACTACAACACCTCACTATTGTATTTATCTCATCCTGCTCTTCAGTCAGAGATATCACATGACATGCTTTTCTCTACCGCACCATCATGTGCTGACACACCTGCCTACAGGAGTGGAGGCCATCGTTTCAAATCTGCATGTGGCCTATTTAAAAAATAACGGACTTTGGTTTCCAGGTCGACACTGCTTAAAATGGGTACCAGTAAATTCCTGGGAAGTAAAGGCAGCTGGTATGAAGTTGACCACCCCATCGAGTGTTGACCACCCCATCAAGTGTTGACCACCCCATCGAGTGTTGACCACCCCATCGAGTGTTGACCACCCCATCGAGTGTTGACCACCCCATCGAGTGTTGACCACCCCATCGAGTGTTGACCACCCCATCGAGTGTTGACCACCCCATCGAGTGTTGACCACCCCATCGAGTGTTGACCACCCCATCGAGTGTTGACCACCCCATCGAGTGTTGACCACCCCATCGAGTGTTGACCACCCCATCGAGTGTTGACCACCCCATCGAGTGGTGACTGGTCCATAAAACTGTAACCTCCCAAGTTGGATACGCCATTGAAAAGCATCCTTTCCCCCTTTACCACTTTATAAATATAATACAGCCAGTCGTAGAAACCCAATAGTCCCCCTTTACCACTTTATAAATATAATACAGCCAGTCGTAGAAACCCAATAGTCCCCCTTTACCACTTTATAAATATAATACAGCCAGTCGTAGAAACCCAATAGTCCCCCTTTACCACTTTATAAATATAATACAGCCAGTCGTAGAAACCCAGTTGTCCCATGTTTGTGCACTTCACAAGTCGGGGATAAAAAAAAAAAATTAAGATGGTCTGTCAGCTGAAGCTACCATGAACTCAAAGTGACCAAGGCACCATGAGCCAAATGGCCTATAAAAATGAGAGGCTAGCATCATATACCCAAGACCCCTCAAAGGGTAAAAAGGGTTCATTTACTTTACTTAATGTAACCTACAGGTATCTTGTCACTGCCGTTCCAAAGTCCAGGTCAGAAAAGAGGAGGGCTGAGCCTGGGGCCAGTTCCCCCACCCTTTAAAAAATTATATGCTAAAGAAACTTGCAGGACAGGAACTATAATTTATATAGTTTTAGAACCAAGTTACGTATTTTCAACTCTAGCCATTCTTTTTTCTTCAGTTTCAACATATACCAGTGACAGTTATAAAATCACTAAAGATATGGAATGAAAGAGGAAAATTATGAACATAAAATGAAGAAATAAGAGAAATATCTTGGCAACCACTAGTATATATAGTCAAAAAACAGAGAAGGTGGTGCTATATTAGACACATTCTAAGAAAAGACGAACCAAAAATCACCAAAAGGGCATTGAAATGGGAAACAGTGGGACTGAGGAAATGGGAAACAGTGGGACTGAGGAAATGGGAAACAGTGGGACTGAAGAACTGGGAAACAGTGGAACTGACAAAATGAGAAACAGTGGGACTGAGTAAATGGGAAACAGTGGGACTGAAGAACTGGGAAACAGTGGGACTGAAGAACTGAGAAACAGTGGAACTGACAAAATGAGAACCAGTGGAACTGAGGAAATGGGAAACAGTGGGACTGAAGAACTGGGAAACAGTGGGACTGAAGAACTGGGAAACAGTGGGACTGAAGAACTGGGAAACAGTGGAACTGACAAAATGGGAAACAGTGGGACTGATGAAATGGGAAACAGTGGGACTGAGGAAATGGGAAACAGTGGGGCTGACAAAATGGGAACATTCAAGAGAAACCGTGAGGTAAACTCTGATGGGATTTCTTCCTCTTCTGTGTCCCTTTAAAAGAGCAACTGGCTTACCAGTATAGAAGAGGAGTTGTCAGCGTAGACACACTAACAAACCTGCGTAGAAGATCAGATCAGACTTTTCTCATGTGCGTTTCAGGGCCCCTTTATGGGAGGGGGAAAAAAAGAACAGACACCGCTGAACTCTGCCCCCCCCCTCAATTATGTTGTAACAGGCAATTAAATAGGGTTGTTTTCTTTAAGGTTGAAGAGCATCTGCCTGAGAGGTGGGGAACAGACAGACAGCATAAATTTGCTTAGAAGACCAGATCAAACTTTTTCCTGTATGTCTTCAAGGGCCACATTCTTCCTCTTCTTCTTTGTTCACCAGCTGTAAGCTCCAATGGAAAATCTCAGTTATTCGTCCATTTGGAATTTTGGCTTTTTGCATGCAAGTGCCTGAGATTTGCGCTTTTTGCCAGGGCCTGAGTTTTGCATGTACAACTGTTTTATTGGCTTATTTGTGTGCAGATTGATGTTTCTTGCACCCCGATTTTAAAGGAAGTCCCCCACTAGTCGACTCCCATGGCATGCATGTTGGAGACGCATTGAGTCTATTCTTGTTTTCCCCACACATGGATCTTAGGACTAAAGCAACAAATAAACGGTTACATACCTGACTGTCGATGCCCAACAGCAGAAGCATGAAAAAGAAAAGCACCGCCCACAGCTGTGGTATAGGAAGCTTGGATATCGCTTCTGGGTAGGCAACTAAAGCTAAACCAGGACCTGAAGAAGCAAATAGCAGATCATTAGGGAAAAAACTGCATCAGTGTGTTACAGAGGCCCATAAAAGTAGCTGACCACGCATGCTGTATAAGGCAGTCTCCACAAAGAGGACTGTCTGCAGTCCATCGCTCACTCTCTCTTGTTGTGGTTTTAGACAATCTTAAAATATATATTAAATACTAGACATAGAAATTTTGGGCAGACATGTTTGCTGACAAGAATTAGATAGCATCCCGTGGGCAATAGAATCAAATCTTTTCTTTAAAACTCTGGGGGGGGGGGGAGGGAGGTTGTGGGACCACTGCCCTTTAATAAGCATGTCCTACAAGTTGACTAATTAAAGATTCGCTGCAATGCTTTTTGCCAAAAGATGCAGATACTGCAAGCTAATTGTGAACCAAATCACATGGTGATAATAGCCTGTATAAGAGTTGAGTTAGGTCAAGAATTGACATCACAGCACTCAAGACATTCCCATGCATGCTCCATCCTCATCTTCAGCAGCCAGTGCAAAGTTCCAATACTGATCGTACAGGTCAAAATCTGGTTATATATCCGTCTTGCCTTTCCTCTGAGTGTAGTGAGCTGGCCAGACCCTCTGGTTACACCCAGGCGCCTCATTCTCTCCAGGCCATAATAAACTTCTTTCTCTACTGATTCCGTTGTTTGTTCCCAAAGGACCTTGACCATATCTGCCTATATAAGAGCAAAAACATAACAAGAAGAAAGCAGATCTGCAGCTACCAAAGGCGTCACAAATAAATACGTAGATACTGCACCCTACCTGTAAACCAAACTGTGGGTGCCAAACTACGTAAGGGCGAACTCAGAACAACAAGAAGAAAAAAAAGCAGAATGTGCAACTACCAAAAGCATCAGGAATTAGAATGTTACCCTGGGTTGCCACTTCTGTGACGCTGACATTGGCTTCCTTTGCCAAGAAGCCCAGCACGCAGAATATGACAAATCCTCCGTACACACTGGTCAGCCCGTCAGCCAGGGAGGCAATCAACACATCCCTGAAACAGTTGACAAACTTGAAATCAGTGCTAACTAAATGTTCAGTATATTCATAATCATCCCAGTGTGGGTTCCAAGGTTACAATATGTTAGTAAGTTGCATATCCTTTACAGGACATTGTAGAACCAACCCCAGCATTTTTTTAGCTGTTGTGGTTTTTCTAGGCACAGTTTACGTTTAGTAGTTTGCCAATACTCTCTGAACGGTCAGCTCTCGGTACACCTGTTGAAAATGATGCAAGACAAACTGTTTGCAGATGGGATCGAACCCGGCACCCCAGCATTATGAAGTGCATTCGCAACACCTAAGCCTCAGACGCCGACTCCCAGTGTGCAGATAAAAATATTGAAACATTTTTTCACAAAAGGAGGTCTCATGCCTCTCTGACAAGGATTTCATAACAGTTGACTAATTAGGCATGTTTGCTTCAAAGTCAGAATGCATCTGCCTGACAAGCAAGAAACTAACAGTCTGCTTACAAATAAACCAGATCTGTAAAACAGATGTGCATGCAAAACAAAACTAAAGTTCAGGAATAAGATTTGAGTCCGTGAGTGGAGGATCGACTAGAACTTTTTACTATAGTTTACAGCTGATAAACAATAAGAAAAAAAAAGACTAATAACCATAAAAAGAACTATCTTTTTCTTCTCTAGTAGTCAGAAACAAATCAAGACACGCATGAGAAGTAAATCTAGCCTGCCTCCCAATAAAGCAAAAACAATATGGATATTGTGGCTAGAAAACCTTCATCAGCATACCAAAATAAGCAGTAAAATATGGACAATGATACAGTTACATAAATTACATAAAAGATTATATTACAATAACTTCGCTGACTTGATACAGCAAAAACAAAATGGACATTATGGCTAGAAAACCTATATCAGCATACAAAAAAAAAAAAACAGTAAAATATGAACAATGATACAGTTACATAAAAGATTATATTACAATAATTCACTGACTGGATACAGCCAAACATCTGTTGAAATATCCATAAATGTTCAAGCCAGTTTCATTGAATGCCAACTGATCTATAAAAATATAAGTCTAGTACTATATACCTAATGCTATTAAGGTGTCAAAAAGGTCCTTTGGCATTTATGCCACTGGTGTTATATTCTTCTTCTTCTTCTTAATGTTCACCAGCTGTAAATGCAGGTGAAAAGTTCTGGTTGTTCATCCAATTCTGGTCTGTAATCTTGTTCTAGAATCTTAGTTTCATGTGCACACTCATTTTGTAGATATGGTTTATTTGTGTGCAGACTGTTGGTTCCTTGCATCTTAGGCAGATGCACTCCAACCTCAAAGAAAACACCCAAAATAAGTCGCCTTTTATGACAAGAAATCCCAGTAAAATGTGACTAAAAATCTTAACAAAATGCAGAAAAAGCGTGCACAAAACAACATAAAACAACATTTTGGCCGGTAGCCTTTCTCGAACAAGTAATGAAGTACAGAACAGTAACAAAGAGGAGCGTATTCAAATCTCTAAGGGGTGACCTGAGCAACTTTTTAAAAAAATGTGATGTGGAGTGTGTTAGAGGGGCAGTAGGTCTATCCTTTTTTTGTTCTCCTTAAAAAGGGAGTCCTGAACCAACACAGGAAGGTGTCATATTGAAAACCCTGTTGCCTATATGGTATTTTCTTCACCTGTCTTGTATCCCACAGTGGAGCCTAGGTCTTAACCCACTCATGCCAGGTGGTCAGCTTTTATGTCTGAACTTGTTATGGGATGCGTTAGCTAAATCCAAACCTACCTTTGCTCTCTTATGGTATGATTAGCAGGTTGTAGTGTTACTTTTCTTTGTCTCTCCTAAGGTAGGAATCTTCCTCACTCAGATTTTTTGTAAGTACATATTTCCACTATAACTTTGATGTTGTCAAGGTAGTTCCATTCTATTACTAAATTATTTTTCTTTTTCATGTTCACCAGCAGTGAAATTCAATGGAAAGCTCTGGTTGCCTGTCAAAACTTCAGTTTTGCATGCATGCCAGTTTTACAGATCTGGCTTGTTTGTATGCAGACTGTTGGTTCCTTGCCTCGAAGGCTTTACAATGTGACTGGACGGCCACCCCCCCCCCCCCCCCCATTCCCCTGGCTGGAAACCTGTTTCAACAATGACCAGGCAGAGGTGTAAAGCCCTAGTCCTGGTGCACCACCTCAAGTTCTGCACCTCTGTATCCATTTTAACTAAACCCACAGAACTGACCTGAAACACTGGTTGTGGAATTTGTTGAAGCTGGCCATGGTTATCAGCCCACCCCATGCTGGCCCCAGAGAATAGAAGACCTGAACACAAGCCTCAATCCACACCTGAGATGGACAGACAACAAAAGCATTCACTGTAATAATAAAGACATTCAGTGTGGCTTTGCCTCCTATGGTGTGACTCTTATGCAACAATCCAAAAACCACAAGGACGTTTTTTTTTTTTTTTTTTTTGGAAAATCCTATTCCACGGGAATTGAACCACAGTACTCGAGGATTGTTTAATGGTTAAATACATTCAGGGACCACACTTCTTCTTTTCCCTACTAGCTGAAAGCCTTGCGGCGCCAGCGCAGGAAGAGATCTCTGCAACAGGCACTTCTGTGTCCCTGATATTTCTGCGGTCCATCTCCATGGTCGACCTTAGACTCTGTTACTGTTGTCATCTTTATAAACACTGCTTGCCCTCTGTGCTGCCCTGGCATCAGAGAGGAATTTTTTTTTTAAATTGTCGTCAAGGTTTTTGGTCTGTTGTACAAGAGTCACACCATGGTAGAAAATGGGATCTCGCCACATAATATCCCCAACGACAGCAGAAATTCACCGTAGCCAATCTTTACTGTGAAAGCAGCATACAAGTTTAGAAGTGTAATTGGTCAACACACACCTACAGCTGGTCAGTCAAAGTTCCAATATCACTGCAGACACTGCATCATTCGTGTGCCATTGGAAATCACAAACAACATCCTTCGCTGTCCTTGAAAACTAGTCAACAACTTGTCATTTCCAGAGAAATCCTAATGCTTCCACACGCAAAATTTAAAATGCATAAGGCAGCCATTAGATGTGCCAACGCTAACAGTCCCACACCAGAACTGCAGCTCACTGTTGGCACTAATGATTAATCATGAAAGCTGGCATTGCACTAGCGAAAGTACACGGCCCTGGTTGAGCATAATCAGCTGCCCAGTCATTTTACTGCCGTCAACAACACTTTGCTGGCACAACAGGGTAAAGCGTTCAGTCCTTCACACATTCGAGAACACAGCACAATGCTGCTGCTGCTCCTCCTCAGCAGAGGTAACAGCCATTGAGGATAAAAAGAAGAAGATGAACATGAAGAATGTAAAGAATGTGAAGATGCCTTTCTATTAAGGAACATTATTATGGTAATAATTAGAGTAAAATTCATTGGTTTCTCAAATAACAATACTTATTTATTAGTATAACAGTGTTGAATGGTGAATTAAGTATTGCCATCACAGCACTCTCGACACCCCCATAAGCGCTTCGTCCCAATATTAAGCGGTAAGCGAAGAGTTCCAATAGAGTAATATAACAGACAAGGAAGTTCATACAAGAGAAAACACTGCAGATACAGATAATATATTTCAAACAAACGAAAGAAGATGAAGAAGAATACTTACAGTAAAGTTCATGAGTTTCTCAAAGTCTGGTTTCACATAGAAGATGATCCCATCTATCGCTCCAGGTAACATACTGCCCCGTATAAGAAAAACGGTCAGCAACACATAAGGCATTAGGGCCGTAAAGTAGACAACCTGCAATTGAACAAGTGAAGGTAACAACATAAGCACATACTAAGGTAATGACGTTAATATGAGTCACTGCTGAGCTGAGCACAAAAGGAACTAAAAACAACACAAACTGTGAACTAGAAAGCTCAAGACACAAACAACTGAACGTTACATTAAATGTCTTCATCAACAGATAAGACAACAGAATTTATAAACATCCAAGGTCAACAGGGAACTAGAAAATACATAGCAGGAGAAATAAGGACACAGAAGGCTATATAAAAAACAAACAAAAAAGGTGGTTGAAAAAAAAAAAGGGGGTGATCGTAAAATATAAACAAGCATCTTAAAAAAATTTAACTTATTCCAAATATTATTCCTTCCACATTTGTACTGACCAATGATTGCTGGTTGCCTTTACCTCCCTTGACATTTCCTTGTACTTATTTTAGACTGGGTTGAACAGCTAATTAAAATAATAAAAGTCAGACCGGCACGGATTCACATCAAAGAACTTGAGGCCATCAGGAAGGTGTCTACGGTGGCACCTCAACCTTAACACCAGCAACTAAAAGTCAAGCTGAGTGTCCAGCTCAGCTCTGAACATTCCCATAAGCGCTCCATCCTCAACTTCAGCAGCCAGTGAAGAGTTTCAACTTCGATAGTTCCAGCAGCAATTTGATTATATGTCCATCTTGCCTTTCCTCTAAGTGCAGAGTGTTGTGATCAGATCCAATATTGTTCCTTTGTTCCCAAAGGCCTTGATCGCATCTAGCTTGTCCTGAATAAATTCACCACCCACTGATGCAAAACCAGCCAATCTGCCTGCCTGTTTATTTTCCAACACTCCTGCATAGCAGTGAAAATATCCACACACACACACACACACACAAAAGTAAAACAGCTAAAAATCACAATAACATAACACTTGACCCATTAGGGTTGTGGAGGTGTATTGATGGAAGACTAGCACATAAAACCCGCCATCTTTCTCTGTCTTCTGCTTGATGAATAAGTGTATGAAAACCTAGTTCTGTCTATTTCCCGATGTTGTCATTCCAGATTCTTCTTTGTCCTCCTCCTCTTTGACTACCCTGCAATGTTTACTGAAGAAAAGTCTTTGCAACTGAATCATGTCTCACCACATGCCCAAAGCAAGCTAGCTAGTGATGTTTCACCACTGCCAAGACAGGTTCCTGATGTCCCGTACATTTCTATATTTTGTCTCTGACATTTTTATTTGTTTTGTGTTTTGAATAACTAATTCGTAAAATACGTCTATAGCATTTACATTCGAAAGCCTGAATCCTCCTTTCCATTCCCTCAGTGAGAGTCCAACTCTTACATCCATATAAGAAAAAAGACAACACAACTGATTTGTAAATATTGACCTTGACTGCGATGCTGATTAAAATCACAATGTACCAACAACAACACACAAAAAAAGAACTGACTTTCCCAACAGACTTGACTCCCTTGATCAGGCAGAGACAGACGAGAATCCAAGCCGCAAGAAGCGACAAGGCAATGTGCATCTGCATACTTCCCAGGTTCTCTAGGCCGTCACTTTTTCTCAGGACATTGTATCTGCAACCAATGGTGTTGTAATTGCTTTCAATAAATATGGTTCATTATTTGTAATAAGTATATCACAGTTATCTGCTGCAATTATCTGTAATTAGTGATGTTACCATTATCTATAGCAAGTGATGCTGCAATTATTTTTTAATTAGTGATATTGCAAATTATATGTAATTGGATCTGTTGTAATAAGTGATGTTGCAATTACTTGTAATAAGTGATGCTGCAATTACTTGTATTAAGTGATGCTGCAATTACTTGTAATAAGTGATGCTGCAATTACTTGTAACAAATGATGCTGCAATTACTTGTAATAAGTGATGCTGCAATTACTTGTAATAAGTGATGCTGCAATTACTTGTAATAAGTGATGCTGCAATTACTTGTAACAAATGATGCTGCAATTACTTGTAATAAGTGATGCTGCAATTACTTGTAATAAGTGATTCTGCAATTACTTGTAATAAGTGATGCTGCAATTACTTGTAACAAATGATGTTGCAATTACTTGTAACAAATGATGCTGCAATTACTTGTAATAAGTGATGTTGCAATTACTTGTACTACAGTGAGGTGACACTAGTGGGACAACATACCAGTGAGGTAACACTGTAATGTAATGAGGTAAAACTTAAATGAGGTGACATTAACTGACACAATGCAGTTAAACTTACTGCCAGAACTCCTCAGCGGCCGTCCTGTACTTGACTTGGCTTGACCCACACAGTGAGGCATTGCCAACACAAGATGAACTCCCGCTTGCAAAGTTCCCCGAACCATTGGTTAACTGCAGGTTAAGAGTCATGTTACCATCACTCACGTTGGAGGCAAACATTGAGTTCAGTTCGCCTTGGTGCGTAACACATTGTGGAGTGTTCCACCAGTGCCCACAGCTGGCCCAGGGCAAGTCTGCCCTGAAGGAATTCACCAGGTAGTAGATGACCCAGGAGAGAACCGCGTTGTAGTAGATGCAGGCCATGCCAGAAACCAGGACCATTCCATAGCCAATACCTGGAGAAATAACACGTATTAAATCAGTCCTACCTGAGCGGTTTAATGGCCACATTTTGGTGAAACAAGGGTAGTGTTCTCCCCATGTGACTCCGCTGGCCCCATTTTAGTGAAACAAGGGTAGTGTTCTCCCTGTGTAACTACCTGGGCCCCATTTTGGTGAAACAAGGGTAGTGTTCTCCCCCATGTAACTTTCTGGGCCCCATTTTGGTGAAACAAGGGTAGTGTTCTCCCCAATGTAACTTCCTGTGCCCTATTTTGGTGAAACGAGGGTAGTGTTCACCCCAATGTAACTTCCTGTGCCCTATTTTGGTGAAACAAGGGTAGTGTTCTCCCCAGGTAACTTTTGGGAGAAAAAAGAATAAACCCACAGCCAGCTAACAAGTATGTTGTAAGAGGCAACTAAAAAGGATCGTTGTAATCAGATGTGTTGGCCAAAAAGAGTAGCTGTAAATTGCAATACAATGTGCCAATCGCCTTTTTTAAAGGTGAAACAGGAAAGAAGGAGAAGAAGAAAGAAAGTTATTTTTTCATTTAGTGTGTTCCCTGTGTGGTTTGTGGGGCTCCACTTTGGAGAACAAAGTATAGACTCATTGTCCCCTCTAACAAGCTTGTCACAGGAGGTGACTAATTAGATATATTTCCTTTAAAGTCAGAGTGCATCTGCTGGAGAGGCAATTCACCAACAGTAAAAATGGATGTGCCCACAAGAATCAAGTCCTTGATCAAGACCAAAGTCCAAGAGTGGATGAACAACCAAAACTTTCCGACAGAGTTTATCACTAGGGAACGTTAAGAAGAAGAAGAAGCATCAGAGTGTGTCATTATGGTCTCACCCATACATGAATACAGGCTACAGCACAGACTGAAGTAGCCGATCCAGGTACCCCAATTATACCTTCTGGGGGTGTGTTGGATTTGCTTGCCCTCTTGGTTTGCCATTCAGATTCATAAATTCTCAGAGGTGGGTCAAATCTTCATGTAATCTGGTAATTTCAGTTTCAGCTTTATAGCAGATGGTTCACCCCTATTGTTGCTCTGCCCCTGTGCCAACGACACAGCATGTCCATCACTGTCCCTTGTGGACAAATTGATACAGACTGCAGTCACAGCATATCCACTAGCGAACATGTACATTAAAAGCGTAAGGCAGCCATCAGAATATACAAGTGCTAACACACACAGCCTCACATTCGAAACTGACGAAACCAGTAGCTAAACACAGATCAGTAGTTGCAAACGCGATTACTTTTAATCATATAAGGCAGCGATTCTCAACCTGTGTATCCCGACCCTTTCACATGAGTTGCCTAAGACCATCGGAAAGCACATATTCATTGAAAGTATGAAGCAGTAATGAAAATAATTGTATGTTTGGGGGTGGCCACAGCATGAGGAACTGTATTAAAGTGTCACAGCAATAAGAAGGTTGACAGCCACTGATATCAGGCAGAACCAAATCTGTGGCAACAGGCCACTTGCCATTTTCTACAACACCACATCGGTGTCATTTTAATCAGTGGACACATTAACCATACTACGGTGAGGTTTATACTAGAGACAACATTGCAGATATAGATAATCTATTTCAAGCGAATGTAAGAAAAAAAAAAGAAGATTTATTACCATACTAAGAAAAGTGTTCACAACATTCTACCACACCATTTACTGCCTAATTTTTAATTATTTCACACTTGTTTTCCACAGTTTTGCCAAATTCAACTAAATAATGTTTGTGTTTAAACTTTGATCAGTGGACACATAGTGGAACAGTGTTCACAACATTCAAACACATAATGTGCTAACTAATCTTTAATTAATTGACTCCAATTCACTCAGGGGACATAACATCCAACAGTTTTATCTAACTTTTCTTTTTAGTCACAGCCCTTGCTGTTCACAGCTTCTTCTGGCTAGTATTTATTTCCAGTAGCCACACACCTGTCAGAGATTCAGCTGGCCAGACAGGTATGTGATTTCTCTCTGAAATACTTCAGTTAAGTGTTTCTGTGATTCTTGTTCCTATTCATGATACTGTATATCCATATCATGTACTGATCATGGCTCTCTAGCCTAAATGTTCACTGGTCATTTGTAATGATCTGAAGAGGACTGGTTCTACTTCTCACCTGGTTTAACATCTCTTTCATTATATTTTAATTAACTGACAGATCTGTTACAAACAGTTACCACAATATTGCACAACATGAGAACAAGCTTACCTTTAACCAGTGGACACATTTTCCACACAAAAAGAGAGCTTGTCCCAGAAAACTGTCCCAGGCAGACCTCTAAGTAAAACAGAGGTATTCCACACAACAGCAAGAAAAAGAAAAAGGGGATCAGAAATGCACCTGAGGAGAAAACCAAATAATTTGAGTAAAACAATAACACAATTGTAGAATACTAATCAGATATTGTATTCTAATTGGTGTTTGGATATTTCCTTCAGGTTATGGGGGGTGTGTTGGGAAATGAACAGGCAGACCGACTGGCTGGTTCTGCACCACTTGGTGGTGAAGTGATGTATGACAAGCTAGACATTGTACAAGTCTTTTGGGAGATTGATAACCGTGCTGATGTACATACAGATCTTGAGAATGTGAGGAGTTACCACAGGTTATGGCCGATGCTCAAACACTCAAGGGAAAGGTGAGACACATAAACAATCAGTTACTGAGCAATCAGAATTGGACCTCTTCACTTGCTGCTGAAGAATGGGATGGAACGCTTATGAGAGTGCCTCAAGTGCTGTGGTCAATTCTTAATTCAACATTATTTTATTTTCATCAAGACTTATGACACCTTTCCCATACACTGTTCGAATATTTCATATGACTTCTTTGCATTCATCAGCGGTAAATTTTATGAGGAGTCCTAGTTGTTCACCCACTTCTGGGACTTTGGTCTTGTTCCAGGACTTGTGTGCAGACTGTTGGTTCCTCACCATTTAGGCAAAACAAAACATGACCTTAAAGGAAATGTCGATCCTATCTATACTAGCCAGGACCTGTCTGAGAACCTGTTTTGTGGATAACGACAGAGAGATGCAGATAAGTCCTGACAAGTTACAGCCTTGGTCATGAGCACAATCAAGTGGGGTTCAGCACCTCTTTGTTTCATTTAAGGTACCAGTTCTGGAGATTTTCCTGGGTGAAAACAGTTCAACCGGAGAACTAGATTTCTTACAGATTTCTCACAATCATATCATACTTCAAACGAGTGAACTTTATTTATAAAGGGTCACAAAGTGGGCATGCAGGCCTATCTTACATTCAGCACTTCCAAACACCCATCTTGCACAAAGCAGTTGCACTAAATAGTTGTGTAACCTTTACAGGACGTTGCAGAACCAACCCCAGCACTTTCTGGCTGCTGTGGTTTTTCTAGGCAAATTAACGTCCAGTAGTTTGCCATTGTCAGCTCTGTGGCTAAGTCGATGCAAACGCTTCGTAATGCCGGGTTCTATCCCAGCTGCGGGCCATGCGCCTTGAGTTAGTTTTGACAGTGGTATTAAGAAAGCCGACCGTCTAGAAAGCAATGGCAAACTACTGGATGTAAATTTGCCTAGAAAAATGACACAACAGCCAGGGGCTGTTGGGGTTGGTTCTGCAACGTACTGTAAAGGATACGCAACTAACCAGTTTGTCACTGCTTTCTGGACGGTCGGCACCACCATCGAAACCAGCGCAAGACAAACTGTCCGCAGCAGGGATCGAACCCGGCGCCCCAGAATTAGGAAGCTCATTTACAACGCCCAAGCCACAGAAGCCGACCAAAGCAGTTGCATTTTATCAATAAAACATGCTATGTTCATATAATAATACTTCTTCCAGGTTAGCATCCTTTCATCTAGGCCAGCAATATTTCATCAGATAAAATGCGTGACCAACTACAAAATCAGGTAAACGGGATCAATATAATAGACAGACAAACTAACAACATAAAGGCAGAAAAATTTGGACTAATGTATTTGGAACATTGCAATGTTAATGAATACTTGTATGGATCATTGCTATTTTTTTTTAAATCCCTTTTCATGGGCGCATCAGGGATATGGGAAGAGCACCCCTACTTTTACAGAACAATTGGCATTAGGTGGGTAATGTGGTCAGCATTACGCCGGCCGTCTTTACTTTCCCTAGGACATACATTCTAGTACCCATTTTATGCTGGGTCGACCTGTGATGCCTCATACATAAAAATCCACGCAGCCAGCAGTGGGTTGCGATCGTGGTACCATGGAATTACGCAGACTCGCAAGGGTTAAGCCACATGTGCCGCTCATTGCTATCTTAGAATATCATAATTATTATTTGATGCAAGATACCTTGCAGAGATTAGAAAAATTATCACAATGGCAAAGATGGTCTTTAGAAAATATAAAGATACTCACCAACAGAAGGCATCAACTGAAGCAAGAAAAAGGTGTTCTCTACAGAATCTGTGTTGTTTTATGCATGTGAGACATGGACAGTAAGTAGGTGAGCTGAAAAACTTTTGCTAGCAGCGGAGACATGATTTTTGTTTAGATCAATGTAAAGAATATCATGGAATGATATAAAAACAAACGAGGCAGTTCGGCTCTAGAAAGATGAAAATTGAAAAGTAGTTTGAGAAATTAGACACAGACAGTCTGGTTATTTCAAAACATGTTTTGAGAAGGAATGGGTTTGAGATCTGGTCAGGACAGATAAGACTGATGGAAAAAGAGAAAGGGGAAGGCAGAGAGATAAATATCTACAGGATCTAGCCAAAGGAATGAATCAAGATATAGGGGCTGCTTGGTCTCGAGACATGGTGTCCGCCTCGACTGAGGCTTGATTGAGGTTCCGGGTCCAATCCCCCGTAAGAGCTTAAATTTGTTAACCTTGACTTGGACTTCTAGTAATTCCCCCTGGTCTCTGGGTAGTGAGAACAGTTGCGCGTGTGCATTGTTGAGCACGTAAAAAAAATCCCTTGGCAGTTGGAAATAGAAAAGAGTAGCCTAACGGCGTTGCCTGGGCAAAATTTGGAGTTAAAGTCTACCCAAAATATTTCAGGATCCTCGCTGGTGCTACAGAGCCTGCGCATTGTGCTGAGCTTCTTCGGACTCAGACTTGAGTTAGAAAAAGAACATAGCACTTATGGGTTACTACCCGTGCTCCATGATGTTGATCCGTTGTTCAAACCATAAACAATGAATGGAGATAGGAAATCTGATGGGATTCTGGTGATCGTGATAGATGGTTTAACATGAAAGTCTATGCTTTTTTCCGACACATGATGATGATGGATCACTACACTGGGTCAAAGGGCAAAAGCCCACAGTTACTGATCTACATACAATAAAAGAATAAATGAAACAAGAACTGACATTAATGACATGACATCAAGTGTCCCGTCTCCCTCAACGGAAGAGTCGACATACTAACAGCATCAGTTTCAACCTGATTAAAAGTCCGCCTATGTTTCCCCCTCTCAGTGTTGAATATCTTCCAGAACATCTGCTCACCCCCTGTTGAATGAGTCTTTCAATGTATGGAATCTCTGTCTGTTCTATGGCACTCTACATCTGATCCTAGAGAACCTTCACCACGTCAGCTTTATGATTTAGTAGATCATTGTCTTCAGCAGAGCAGCAAGCATCACTTCAGAGGTCTCGGGTAGTTAGCATCCTTTGGATAATTTCTCCAGGTTATGCCGGTGTGTTGGGAAATAAGCAGGCAGATCAACTGACCGATTCTGCACCAAATGGTGGTGAACAAGATAGATGTTGTGAGGGCCCTTGGGGAGCGAATGAACAGAGCAGAGGCACAAATAGAATAGAAGGGCGAGATGGATATACAATCACACGGTTACTGGCACAATCGGAATTGGAACTCTTCGTTTGCTGCTGAAGACGGAGATGGAATCTGCTTACTACCCTGACACTTAAAATCTTGCACAGAAAATCTATGATCTTAAACAAAACAACTAACTCACCCCCGCCATTGCGCAGGGTCAGGTATGGGAACCGCCACAGATTGCTGACACCAACAGCATAGCCAATCAAAGACAAGACGAAATCTAAACCTCTGGTCCAGTGCTCTCTTTCTTCCTCCTCTTTGTCCCAGGTATCTGATATGACTGCCTGCTCCGCCTCAAGGGCCTTGTGTGTGTCAGAGTCCGGCAGGATGAACAGTGTTGTTTCTTCATGGCCATTAGTAATCTGTTAGAGTACATCACATTCGGCATTTATACACAAATTTTTTTAAATGATAGTGACTTACATTAGTCAGTTAATTGACATATCATCATGGTGGTGAACTGAACGAACAAACTTTATTTTTAAAGGGTTACAAATTGGGCATGCAGGCCCGTCTCACATTTGGCCCTTACTGATGTACGACAAGCTGGATGTTGTGAAGGCCTTTTGGGAGCGAGTGAACAGTGCGCCGAGGAACAGATAGATCATTACGGTCTGATGAGAACCGCACTGCAAGAAGTTACAATGGGATCTGGCCCACGTTCGACACCCAGGGAAAAGGCGAGACAGATATACAATCAGACAGTTACTGGTACCATCAGAAATTTGTATTTTAACTCTTCGCTTGCTGCTGAAGATGGGAATGGAGCGCTTATGGGGGTGTCCCGAGTGTTGTGATGTCGATTTCTAATTCAACATTGACAGATCATCTTCAACTCACATCAGACAAGCCCATAAGTGCTTGAGTACCATCTTCAGTATCTCTTTCAGCCTGTGGCAACAACATAACATCAGTTCTGTGTTAGCTTACTTGCATGCCTGGCAACACCTCTTTGACACAAATCCTAAATCATCTACTTGTTCTGGCCTCCTTGAAAGACAGAACATCGACTCAGTTCACCGCTCTTCGTGTCTCTACTGGGTCCCTGCCACCAAGCCGATCCATCCGCCTATTCCCTCTTACCCCAAAGTGTCTTAAATGGAAATGATTCCTATCAGGTGAGATTTCCTCACAGGCTCCAACCATTGTCCTCAAGCCCAACCTGTTTTGATCTTTTTAAGTATTATTTGTATTGTAATGTCACTACTGCCAGTTATACCCCTTTTTAAGGCGGTGTAGACAGGGGAGTCATAGGCCTGAGAATTTAGGCTAGTGCTTTCACCATTATTTTACCAGGGGTCGAACCTGGGTCTCCCACATGAGAGCCAGACATTGTAACCACTCAGCCAGCTGCTTCTATTAAGCATTAATTAATTACATTAATGGGAAGCAGGTATATCATCAACGAGAGTCTCTGTTTTGAAGCATCATTTGGATATTTTCTCCAATTAAGCTAGTGTGTTTTGAAATAAAAATGCAGACAGACTAGTTGGTTCCACGCCACTAGATGGTGAATTGATGCATAACAAGCTAGATGTTGTAAGGGCCCTTAAGGGAACTTGTAAACAGTGTGGAGGCACACACAGATCAGCATGGTCTGGGGAGAATGGTGCCGTGAGGAGTGACCAGGGGATCTGGCCAACGCCCAACAGAAAGGCATGTCGGACAGACAATCAAACTGCAACTGGTATCAATTGAATTGGAACTCTGCGCTTGCTGCTGAAGATGGGAACATAAGTAAAGTAAAGATCCCTTTTCATTCCTTTAGGTGCATCTGGCATATGGGAAGAGCACCCATATTTTTACAGACCAATCGGTACTATGTAGGTAATGTGGTCAGCATTATGCCGGCCATCTTTACTTCCCCGAGACACACATACTGGTACCCATTTTATGCTGGGTCGACCTGCGACGCCCCACACCATAATAAAAATCTACGCAGCCAGCATGGGAACAGAATGTTTACAAACATGTCTTGAATGCTATGATGTCAGTTCTCAATGCACAACATTTGTCTCAGGGTTTCTCTTGGGAATCTATTGTCACACATAAAGGAAGCAGGACTAGAGGCTGACTATGAAAGCGGTGGATAAATAGAATATCCCAGCATCTCTTCAACACACACCAGACATAACGGAAGCAGGACTAGAGGCTGACTGTGAACGCGATGGATAAATGGTATATCCCAGCATCTATTCAACACACACCAGACATAACGGAAGCAGGACTAGAGGCTGACTGTGAGAGCGGTGGATAAATGGAATATCCCAGCATCTCTTCAACACACACCAGACATGACGGAAGCAGGACTAGAAGCTGACTGTGAAAGTGATGGATAAATGGTATATCCCAGCATCTATTCAACATATACCAGACATAACGGAAGCAGGACTAGAGGCTGACTATGAAAGCGGTGGATAAATAGAATATCCCAGCATCTCTTCAACACACACCAGACATAACGGAAGCAGGACTAGAGGCTGACTGTGAGAGCGGTGGATAAATGGAATATCCCAGCATCTCTTCAACACACACCAGACATGACGGAAGCAGGACTAGAAGCTGACTGTGAAAGTGATGGATAAATGGTATATCCCAGCATCTATTCAACACACACCAGACATAACGGAAGCAGGACTAGAGGCTGACTGTGAACGCGATGGATAAATGGAATATCCCAGACAGTGAATACCAGCATCTATTCAATACACACCAGACATAACGGAAGCAAGACTAGAGGCTGACTGTGAACGCGATGGATCAATGGAATATCCCAGACAGTGAATACCAGCATCTATTCAATACACACCAGACATAACGGAAGCAGGACTAGAGGCTGACTGTGAACGCGATGGATCAATGGAATATCCCAGACAGTGAATACCAGCATCTATTCAATACACACCAGACATAACGGAAGCAGGACTAGAGGCTGACTGTGAACGCGATGGATCAATGGAATATCCCAGACAGTGAATACCAGCATCTATTCAATACACACCAAGGCTGGCACCAGAGGTCGTTTCAAAACCTGACGGTGAGAGGCAGAACAAGGTCTAGAAAAAAAGAAGAATCACTAATCTGGAGCTCTGGGGGAAAACTAAGCATATTTCAGTGAATCAATAGGTGAAAAAAAAAATACTCTGGAAGCGAAACCCTGATAACAGTATAATTAGTATGTCTTTGTGGTGGAACCCACATCAAAGAAATAAAGACAAATACCAAAATAGGATGACTTGGCATGCGTTGATTGAGAGCCTGTGCTTCACTAAAGGATATACAGCAGAAAAGAAGAACTGGAACAAATGACAGAAACATGACAGCCTATTTTGCTTTTATAAATTGTCTATTTGGCGTCTGTTAAAGTAATGCACTTATGATAATCTTCTTTATCCTGTTTTGGTTTATTTCCTTTAGCAAATCTCTTGTGCCTCTCAAACTCATTTGAACCTGTGTATTTGTATCCACAAAATATGAACTATTCTTCTGCATATCTACATCTCCAGAGGTTCGATCCCCTTCTAGAAAGGAAATTTTTTAAAAGTGCTTGATGAATAACATAATGAAGATAAAACAACATTGACAGACCTTGCCATTTTTCTCCATCAGTCAGCAGACAGACAACAAACAAGGCAACACAGACCTGCTGTATTTTTGTTGCCTTCTAAACAATATGGTATTCAAGAACTGTAGAGACTGTAATCCTAGGGATTATAACAAACAAAACAAAACTTAATAAAAGTTTATAAAAAAAGAGTGACATTAGCTTTCAAGCATTTCAGATGGAACTTCTTCTTCTTCTTCTGCGTTCGATATCAGTCATGCTAAACATTGAGTCCCGTCTGGGTCACAAATAGGAATGTGCGTTTAAGGTCGCCACCGGTCCCCCATAGCTTCTCTTGCAATGTGGCTCCTTTGGGCCAGATCCAGTCTTTGCTGGGAGAGGTAAGGGCAGTACTGCAGTATGTGTTCAGGGGTTTGTCTTTCTGCTCCACAATCACAGGCAGCAGATTCTTTTATGCCTATCCTGTACAAGTGTGCTCGCAGACCACAGTGTCCAGTCCGAAGTCTAAGAATTGATGTTTGTTCTTTCCTGTTGAGTTTGTTTATGCTGTCACTCTCTGGTCTGTAATCTCCATTCTGCCTTCTCCACTCCCGCTTGAAAGACTGCTTTAGCGCTGTTTTGGTTTCCTTGTAGCTGTGTGGTGGATGAGGTTGTGGAAGATTACTCCCAGCTTTTGCCAACTCATCTGCTCTCTCATTTCCTTGAATACCACAGTGGGCTGGTATCCACTGCAAGACCAGTTCTGCTTCCTTGGAGAGTAAGCCAATGTTGGTCCTTAGATCAGCAATTATTTTGTCTTGTTTTTTGCTGGATAGTGCTTGGAGAACAGACAATGAGTCGCTAAGTATAACAATTTGGTGCCCTCTGTGTTCTTGAGTGATGAGATGTTGGACTGCAGAGAGGAGGGCAGTTGCCTCAGCTCTGAAGTTAGTGCAGATGTCACCTGCTGGTAGAGAGAGAGTTTCTGCTCTACTGCTAGGGGGTTTAATGTAAATTCCACAACCCCCCTTTCTGACTGCATCTGTAGCACAGCCGTCGGTGAAAACCTGAGTCCAAGTGGTGTTTGGATACTTCTCATCAAGCATAGCAAGAGCCAGGGTTCTCTGTTGTGTCTCCGTCTGGGCATCTTTTGAAGTGATTCCTGGTACCTTTAGGACTACATTTACTTTCTCTGGCTTGCTTGTCCATGGTTCTGGCCTAAGTTTTTCGCACAGTGCAACATCTCTTTCAAGCAGATCTTGGTGCTGTCTGTACAGTTCTCTAGCAAGGTGGTTGGGGCTCTGACGCTTCAGTCTGTTTTTTGTTCTCTCTTGAAATTTAAAATGCAGTGGGTGACTTTGAAGTCTTTTTAATTTCTCATACTGTAAAAGAGTTTTGTATTGTCTTCTGAGTTCGAGTGGTTCAGTATCTGCTATCTTTTCTATTTCTCTGATGGGGGTGGTTTTCATGGCTCCGAGAACAATCCTTAATCCCATATTCTGAACCTTGTCCAGTTTTCCCATTGTTGTCTTGGCTGCTGCAGCCCACGCAGTGGAGGCATATTCCATGACTGGCCTGACTGCTCCAGTATATACTTGTTTTAGGATTCTAGAGTTACCGCCCCATGTGGTACCCGCTAATTTTTTCATAACTGCAAGCTTCTTGAATGCTTTTCCCTGTACTGCTTCTACATGTGACTTCCAAGTTAGTCGCGAATCAAGTGTAACGCCCAGAAAGGTAGGAGTGTCAGTCTGTGGAATGAGCTGGTTTTTTATCAAAATTTCGATTTTTTCTTTTTTTTTGGGGAGAGAGAGAAAAGTGATGCTGTGCTTTTTGATTTATTTAGCTTTAGACCCCACTTTTCGGTCCAGGCTTCTACATTTTCCACAGTTTTTTGTAACAGATATGAGGCTGTGGTAGTGTATTCGGAGGCTGTCCAAACTGCAAAGTCATCGGCATGTAGGGTATTAGAAACGTGCTGGTGGCAGGTTGCTGTGATATCATTAATGTAAACCAGGAACAGAGTTGGTGATATAGCACTGCCCTGGGGAACTCCTTCTCTAAGTTTTGCCAGTTTGCCAATGTGTCCATCAATTCTGAATCTGGCTCTGCGTTGGAAAAGAAAGTCTTTGATCCACTTGTACATGTTGTGCACAACTCCTGCCTGTAGCAGTTTTAGTTGTAGGCCTTCTTTCCAAACTGTATCAAAAGCACGAGAGAGGTCAAAAAAGACAGCAAGAACTTTCTTTTTTTCCTGGAAGGCATTCAGATGGAACATTACTATGTGTTTCCAGGAAGCAAACAACAATGACACTTCCCTGTATACCATTCTCGTGTCTTTCAGGCAATGGTATGAGAGTTGCACCATGGAAGAAACTGGAGCTTCACCACTGCAGCGAACCTCTATTGTGGTGATAAAACTTGTTTCTTCTTATTATTCCCATAGCTTTTATGGTATTATGCAATGGTACACAGTACCGGTATCTTTTGAGTATTTTTATGTTTTTCAATACTTTTATAACAGACACCTTGTGGTGAGTACCAATACTTCTTTTTAGACACTCTGACACTTTGTGGTGAATATCGGCACCTATTTAGAACATAACAAAAGAGTCCTGATTATTCCCTTAACATGTCATAATGGGTGACTCATTAAGGTTTCTCTAAAGTCAGATGTTATAGTTAAAAAAAATTAAGGGTCAACTTCATTGCACCGGGTTTTATCCCATACGGCTCAGTCTCTCACCGCAGAACAGTTAGCTGCCTGCCAAGAGCACCACAAATAGCACAGATTCCATAGCTCTGGTGACTATCCCCAGGGATCTCCATAAAACCTGCGCTCGTGAACTGAACAGTGCAGCCATGAAATGAACCCATGACCTTCAGAGCAGGAGGCAATTGGCTTGACCACTTGGTCACAAGTCAGATATGTTTGGACAGAAGCAGAAGATATTGCATTACAGGTGAAACCACAACACAAACTGCCAACCATCACTTTAAAGATAAAAGCAGAAGATATTGCATCCCAGCTGAAACCACAACACAAACTGCCAACCATCACTTTAAAGATGAAAGCAGAAAATATTGCATCCCAGCTGAAACCACAACACAAACTGCCAACCATCACTTTAAAGATAAAAGCAGAAGATATTGCATCCCAGCTAAAACCACAACACAAACTGCCAACCATCCCTTAAAAGATGAAAGCAGAAGATATTGCATCCCAGCTGAAACCACAACACAACTGCCAACCATCACTTCAAAGATAAAAGCAGAAAATATTGTATCCCAGCTGAAACCACACACTAATGTGGAGCTCACAGGGCAAACTAAACATACTCAAATGAATCAAAACATGAGGATAAGACAATGGCAATGGAAAGGGCACAATGAGAGGTAGATGAAAAAAGTTTAGCTTCTTTGGAAAACCACTCGGCAAGAGAATTAGTGTAAGACAGAAAACATGTGGCAAATTGTAAGAACATAAATTTTAAAATAGGGAGTAGACAAAGAAATACAACAAAAAAATAATTATATAAAAAAAAAAATAAAAGGCAGTCGGTGTGACACTGACCACATTAACTGCTAAATGCTGATTGGTCTATAAAATATAGGACTTGCCATATATGCCCAATACACCTGAAGGTATAGAAAAGGGTCTTTTAGTTTACTATACGTATATCTCCAAAGCGCTGATCTGTTAACAAAGTGCCAACTAACATATAGATCTAGGACTCACATCACCTGAATTTCTAGGTCCCTTTTCCATGCTTTTAGACAAGTAGGTCTAGACCTATTTTTATAGACCAATCGGCACTTGGTGGGTAATGTGGTCAGCATCACGCCGGCCACCTTTACTTTCCAGGACTGCACAAATTACCCACTCAAGGCTGGGTCGACCTGGGAGTCAAAATCATTTTTGAAAAAAGTCCGGCACCTGAATATCAATTCAATCAAATACATACAAGATATTTCACCAGCCAAACAAACAACGGAGGGTTAAAAAAAACATGACTATTATTAATTTTTTGTTGTTGTTGTTGCTACCATGCCTGGAGAAAGAAAATTCCAACAAAGTTTTAGTATTTATATTCTAACACTAACACCATAAATGTACCGTAAGGCACAATTTATGTATGTTAATTTACTATCTACAAATTGGTCACCAAAATTAAAAGCAGTTACAAATTACATTTAATGTTGTATTTAAGTTAATTTTGTAATCTATTATTTTATTAATAATTAATTATAATAGTAATAGTATTAAAATGTAATGACCACACCTTCAACTCAAGTCCCCAAACAGTTCAAACACGCAAGAAAGAATTCAAACAGAATGTACCGACAACTTATCAGGTTTGTACTACTAACCGACATGCGATAGAAAACGATTAAATCCAACAAAGGACGTAGTTTATAGTTTATCAATAGCAAACTCAAAGTCCAAAGTCCAAACACACGGTCCTGGATACCTTCACTTACCAGAAATCAAATCAAATCAAAAACAGACTTGAGACAAATGAAATGAATGAACCTTTTGGAGAGGATTCCCCTTCACATGTCAGGAACTAAACGCAACGATGACTTCTCGTGGGCTTCGCCCTTGGATTCTAAATCGTCTGTCTCAGCGTGAAGACTACATGGTGGACAGAAAGTGGATTAATTTTGTGTTTAATAAGATTCTCTCTCCAGCTGACAGACCGTGATTTTGTTCTCGTCTGGTTTGTTTGTTTATATTGATAGCCAGAGTTATCTCCCATCCCCTGTCAATAGGTTAAGGTTGTCATTCCTAGTACTGACGTCACTGCAACTCGCGTACACTCGCAGGTATTCAGTCTCTCCGAAACGTTTTGTCTCATTGACTATGCCATATTCAGATGCTGAGAACAAAAACAAACTCCGAAGCACGTCCCATGAAACTGCTTATATTTTGAAATTCTACTGGTCTGTTCACTCCGCACGTTATTTGCAAGGTTGGCTATCGTTTCCCACTTGGTTTCTACATCATTGCTCGTTGGCAATTAAGTTAAATGGCCGAAGCCTTTTACATTTTATTTTCTAT